TGTAATTAGTATTAAAGACAGATTATTAGTAGTTAGTACAATGATATAATGCTGTAAATATCAGGTATTCACTAGTTCATTTTTGGTTTTATTAAGTTGCAGTAAATATTACCATATAGAGAATTAAAAAGAACTGTGGATGTTCATTCATTGTAAAAAAGTCTTTATTGGTCCAAAACACAGTACAGAAAACTCAATCGCAACAAACACAGCAGCACAAACACACATGACTGGTACAAACCACACAGATTCAGGCAATAGACATAACAGTAAATCCTTCAGCTGAATCTCAGCTCATTTTCCAGCCCATAGATTTTAGCTTTCAGTGACATCAGCTCGCCCTGAACCTTTTTTGTCCTGGCATTGGTCTGACGTACTTCATGGAGAATAGCTAGGTCCTGGTTGGGCCCGACGTTCAGAGTAACCTGAAACACACAAACAGATCTTAGTAGAGAATATATATGTGTTCCTGTAAACATATATTTTAGCAGTTTAAATGTTCTTTTTTTAAATCACAGTAATTTTCTTGTGTAACTTTCCTTTAAAAGATATGATAAAATTAAATTCAACATTATGACTCCTGGGAAACCCCACAAACATTTTACCTTGAGAAGCTGTTTTTCAACATCTTTGAATTTCTGTCTGAGGTGCTTCAGGTCAGTCTTGAAGCCCTCCACCTCCATGACCCTCCTCTTCTCCAGTGCCTCATAGCGCTGAGTCATCAGCTGAAGTCGCTTGGCCATTTTGTCTGAACGCTCCTGCACACGTGAGACCAGTAATTAAGAACAATCAATCAGAGATGTGTATTCAATTATACAGATACAATTATCATTCCAAAGTTAGCACCTTAAATATTTCTCTGCCAACATCTCCCTCCTCTCGGATCTGGGACAGTTCTGTCTCCAGAGTAATACACTGCTCCCTGTACATCTCTGCCAGACGGTGGGCTTGTTTCAGATCCTCCTGCATTGCCTGATAAAAAGCATAAAGGACAACCAACCTTCAAAACCAAAGCTACTGACTTTCTTTATCAAGGACAAAAGTAAACAATATTTATTCTACTATAAAAAAACACAGATAGGTCACTGGGAACTTCATACGTTCTACGGTCAATGTAGACTGATAAGAAATGTTACCTTCAGCTCCTCTTTGTTTGTCTGCTGTGACTCGGGCTGAGGCCGCGACAGGAGCAGAGCTGTGCTGCTGCTGGGCTGCCACTTCTGACCCGGCTCAGTGCCAGCGGACCCAGCTTTCCTCAGACGGTTGTGGCAGGAGTCCAAGTCCCTCAGCAGCCGGTCCTTCTCCACCATCCAGCCCTTCTCATGAGACCGTGTGTCAAACTTTAGCTGCAAGAAGTCTTTGGTGCTCTCATACAACAGGTTCTGCGTTCGCTGGAGCCTAAGGTGTCAAACGTGAGAGAACACGACAGAGACTAAAGTCAGTATGAAGATTTATTATCACCCAGCGTCAAGAAGATAAAATCCAGGGCCATCTTGATAATTTAGCAGAAAGTTGTTGATAATTCCAGAAATAAAAAATACCCACTTGTCAGTCAGAGCTGTGATTCGCTCCTGGTCTCTCTGCTGTTGTGCATGTGCCTCCTCCGTTTTGATCCGTCTATCCTCCATCAGAGACTCTACTTGTTCTTTGGCCAGACGTGTCTGTTCCACCATCTGAGCCTGCAGTGCCTCCACCTGGAAACGTGAGACACAATTAAAAGCAGGTTTGCATAAGGAAACATCACCTACATCCCGTTTCATGCATCATAAAGTGGGTCTGTACCTGCAGTAACAAAGTCTGGTTGTTGTTCTTGTATTGTTCCAGGCTCTCTCCATTCACCCCGTCTGCTGATTTCGTTCTCCTGCTACTCTCTAATTGAATATTGAATGGTGACATGGTCAGAAACAGCAGAAACATTGATCTGAGTTACTTTTTTGAGAAATATAAGTTCTTAACTATTATTATTTATCATAACACACAATAATATAGTTGAGAATGTTTCTGGAATTATTAGAAACATATGAAATAATAACATATGTAGAAGAGTTGAAAATGAAATTTCAAACCTTTCCTGTTCACAGAAGGTCTGAATGTTGTTGTTCTGAGGCTGAGATTTTCCTCCAATCTGGACTCTGGGTTTCTCTGAGTGATAGTCACCTGAAATATATTCACACATACAGTTTTCTGTCTCAACAAAGCAGATTATTTTCCTGCCTTTTTTTCTAAGTGCAACAACTCAAAACCTTTGCTGTGAGGAGGTGTGCACCTTGTGAGGAGGTTCTCGATGGAAATATGTGATCTCTCCTGCATAAGGACCCACCAGGGCGAGAAGGTGTTGGATTTTCTTCCTGTCCTCGAGCTCTCTGTACAAAAAGTAAGCAGGCGATTAGATGTATAAATGCCATTAAAGAATGCAATTCAGTAATAAAGACAGGTACTTAATACCCATGCTCACTATGGCTTTGACAGTTGGTATCGCGTGCAAGTTAAATCACATGTGCAGATGTACCATGGGTGTGAAGGTAGAGACTTTCCCCCACCTGATCTTAAGTCGGTCATTTTCTGCGTAAAGCCGGAGAGACTGCTCCCTCTCTTGAAAAAGATAGACCTGCATGTCACTCAGAGCGTTTTGCAGCTCAGCGATCTCTCCCTCCCGCTGTCGCACCTCCCGCTGTAGCTTGTGCTGAGAGGAGATCCAAGACAGAGAGTAGATCAGTTACACAGGCAAATAAATGAAATAAAGCGCATAAAGTGACTCCCTAGTTATGTCTCACCTGGTCATCTGTGATGCCTCTGTACTTCTCCATCATCTGCAGCAGCTCCTCGTGTTCTCTGTCAAACTGGGTGATCTTCTGTCGGTAGAACTCCAGTAGCTCCCTGGATGGACGCAGGTATGCCAAACGCTCATGGATGGGGGGTAGTGGGGAGTCAGGTTCTTGACCAGGGGTCTTAATGTTGGTTCTGTAGGAAGAAAATAAACCAGTAGGACAATATGGAAGGGGACGATTGTGTATACCAATCCAGTAGCACTCACATGTCACATGAACACTAACTGCTGACCCTGTGTTTGCTCTAGTCCCTACACTCTTGACCTGCAGTATCAGTTTTACCCTGTTCATGCACAGTACGAGTCTGCAGAAAAACAACAAGTAAGGAAAATCAATGATTACCCTGCCATTTAAACCCACTTAGAGAGTAAAACTAATCTCATGCAGGATTAAGGTTTGTAACAGTGGGAGACCAGACTGACAAAATAAATCCAAGTATCATTCAGGGAGATTTCAGTTTAAAGTATTACGTCCTTCTTACACTGACAACTGTCAGCGCAACAGGAACATTTCTTCAAAGATTTCTTACCTGTGTGGTGTTGCATTTTTGGTTGGAGATGCCATCCCAGCACAAAACACTGAAAAACAGAGTTAAAAAAATTATCTTTCCTTCGAAATGTTGATATCAGGAAAAAAAAAACAAATACAACCAAATGAATAGAACTGGAAGTAAGAATATAAGATGTTTTATTTACATAAATTGTTAACAGAAATGCACAACTTTTCATTGTTTCTTCTATAAAATGCTGCACACTGACATACACCAATGTTGATACCAGTACGCCTGTGAAAGGCAGACATACTTACACATCAAGACTCTTAACAAGCTTTTATCCAAGTCCTGTTAGAGAACTAATATTAATATTAAGAAGTCTGGTTGAGACTGTTAAAAACCTTATGGGCGTTATAAGAACTTATTATTAAAAACTGTACAGAGAAAGTCAATTTAATGTTATTAGAATATCAACATATATATGATGAACATAATATCAGATTTACACGAACTAACAGAAGCAAGTCATTGGAGTTATTGATCCCTAAAATAATGATGACACGTGCTGCTTTGTTCGTAGATGAAATAAACCAAGTGCATCAAAGAACCAAACAGGAAAGATGAACGAAGATGATTAAAATATCAACAGTTGGTTTGTACAGTGAGTTGCTCTGCCGGATTACAGATTTGAAAACTTCACGAGGGGCTAATGTATATAACAGTGCAGTATTATGTGTTCAAGCAGTGTTCGCTTCATCCGAATCATTCAAACAAATATTTAACAGAAGATTTTCTCACCTGACTCAGTTTAGAAAACTCGCCTCACTGCTGTTGTTCGTTGCTACCAAGCTTTTGAAACCCGGAAGTTTACGCCTCTTCGTCTTCTTCGTGGGATAGGTAACGGAAGTTGTGTTATGTCGCCAACTACCGAGTGTGGAGAAGTATGACGAGTGTTATTAAAGAACTTTTCAGATAAATGTAATAAATAAAAAATAAAAATCATCATTCTTTTTTTAGTTTCTGGACAAAAATGAAGGAGTTAAATCTCATCTTGAAGTTGAAAAAAGAAAACATCAAGTACCGGACATCATTAGGTACGATGGAGTGTTAGGGCCACGTTGAAGAAAAAGAAATCCGACATTTCGAGAACAAAGTCGTAATTTAACGAAAATAAAACATTATTTTGACAATTTATTATTATGCTTATCAGCGATACTAATGTGTTTTCTTTACACCAAGGGTCATTTGTTGTCTGTGTGTTTGTAAAATATTCAACTGCAGCTCGAAGTTGGTCGCCACACGCCAATCAAGCAAACGAAGAAGAAGAAGTAAATTATTAATAGTTAAATAAAACAATTAAAGGCAAAAAACGTTTCATCAAGTTATCAAATTCAATAAAGTTAAAAGTTTGTGTTTTCAAAATGAAGGCTGGAACTGTCGTGAGGGAATGACATGAATATTTACCCTTTGTTTTTGTTTGTTTTTAATAAAAGTTCACACGTCAAATGAATCACCAAAACAATTCCTCTTACTTTGTAGTTCTTCTTTTACTATGAAAATCCAAAGCGGAAGCTCTAATTGAACTCGGTCTATCTTGACAGATGTGACAAACTCAGTGTGTGGCTCTGACGTCAGCCTGCTGGTCTCTGTCTCTTCAACATGGAGCGGAAAGTTGCTCGGGAATTTCGACACAAGGTAAGAAAACAACATTTGTCTCTTCGGGCGATAATTAAATCTCGTTTTTTAGGAGCTGCTTGTTTACCTGGTGGAACGTGAACCGGCTCAGGTGTCTTCACCTGCTGACACAGGCCTCAGGACACAAGGCAACACAAGTGTTTCTATCTACATCACTACTACTACAACCTCAACTACTACTGCTAATAATAATAACTTAGTTTATATAGCACCTTTCGAAACAACCATAATAGTGTATTACTTAATGTAAGTCCATTGGGAACAAACAGAACTATCAGAGCTTATTTAATGTTTAATCATTTGACTGAATTAACAGAAATGTATTTACTTATTAATTAACCTGAATTACTTCGTCTTTTCTCAATGAGCTGTTCCATAAGAGGTAGAACAACTCTTTTGAGAGTTATGAGCTTTATTTCAGTTACAATGATTCTTCATAGTCTATTTTAATAATCAAGTTGTTATATTCTAAGTCATCATTTCTGTATTCGTCCGAGGTCGCCACCAGAACAACACAGCGATGTATATAAAGTATGTGGTTCCATGAATTAAGATTGAAATGCAGTATGTCCCAGGTAAAGCCCTGAAAAGGTAACTATGTGTGGAAGATATCAGAGGGAACCTGATATGATCACCACCACACAGTCATACACAGCCATCTGTGCTGCACACAGGAAGGCACGGGGCCATATTGTGGACTCTTCACAAAGGGCATCCTCTCTTGAGATAATGTGGGCCGTGTCAGAGATGAGCGGCTGAGCGGAAGAGATGGGACAATTTACAGGTTTTAATTAGAGGCAGAGGGGAGTTCACAGCACAATCAGGCTTTGTTTCTCTCTGGGGACACCGTAGTACTCATCTCTGGTTGTTTGGCTGAGTGATTCAACCTGAAGAACTGAATTATCGTGTGCATCTTCTTTGTTAAATTGCTGTTTAAAAGTTGATCTGCTCTCAGGAGGTCTAAGTTTGCCCTGCAGTCTTTGGACATCATGGCAGAGCAAAGTTACACAAGATCTTACTGCGTGAAAACCGTCAAATTCTACAAACCACATTGTGCTTTTCAAAACCAATATGTAATGAGCTCTTATTTTATTGGACTATGGTTCCAAAGTCTGCATGTAGTGCAGGCTGAATGTGTGTAACCGCCCTGAGCAGGAGAACTTTACGACTGTCATAAACACCATGTCACGATGACCTCATTGCAGGACCGTCAGAGCGTAAAGTTAATCTGTTTACACACGGTGACTTGTCTTCCTTTATGAGGACAAAATACAGTCCCCGTAATGTAGATAATTACATTTTAAGTTGAAGACATGTTTTAAGATTGGGTTAAGGTTTGGATTAGATGAGTATTAACGATGGTTTAGGTTTGAGATGGATATTATTTTCATTCACTCACTCACACATGATGCAGCTTATTATTATCATTATATTCATAAAAAAGAAACATCATAAATATTGCAAGATATCACATATATATAAATTATGCATTGTAAGCCAATGCAGTGCCCTCTGAAATCATGGAGTCACGAGTGTGTGTGTGTGTGTGTGTGTGTGTGTGTGTGTGTGTGTGTGTGTGTGTGTGTGTGTGTGTGTGTGTGTGTGTGTGTGTGTGTGTGTGTGAACATTGGGTGTGAATGTTGACCTCTGTTTGTGTCTGCTGTAAGAGGACACTGATGACCTTCCCGCTGCAGCCTCTCCTCAGCTGTTCTGCCATTATTCCCTCCCAGTGGTTTGATAGTCAGGGAAGGGCAACTCATTACACCTGCTTAAACTCCAGGGAGCCTCAGCATCTGAAAGCCTGTAGCTGTAACTGAACTCTAAGAAATAAGAAAACCAACTGCTCAGGGCGGGGGTGAAGCTGAGTTTGGGACAGATTCAATGAGAAAGACAGAAATGTGTTACATCAGTGATTGGCCGAAGCGATTCCTCAAAACGATCCTGCTGCATCTGAGCCGCCATCAGGTTTGTACGACTCCTACACACACACACACACACACACACACACACACACACACAGATGGCTCACCCCCTGTGGTGTTGACGAGACCACAGGAGACCTGTACAGTGTGTGTCTGGCGTTCCCTCTGAATCAGCAGTGGGTCGAACGATGGCGCCTGATGTGCGTCTCTTCTTGCAGGTGGAGTTGCTGATTGAAAATGAAGCAGAGAAGGATTACCTGTATGACGTCCTGCGCATGTATCACCAGTGAGTACCACTCGTCTCATACACGTTGCTTTCACGTGCGTCTATGAGCAGGTTGCATTTTCTCACACATTTGTTTATTCACACCTTTATGAATAACCTGGTGATGGTCATTGAATAGACTGGGCAGTGAAATAATTACCACTTTGAACCAGTGTTGTAAGTGAAATGATGCTAAAATGCCTTTTTCAACTTCTTTTGACTCCTCTGTAACTTATTAATGTTAAACGATCAAAATCTCTCCATCCCGCCTCAGTCTGTTGTCATGCACACACGCCTGCAGTTCAATCTGTCTTTATTCCTCCTGGTTTCTGGTAACAGCCTGGTCTCAGAGGGCCGGTGGGGGCTACAGGTCCAATTAATCTTTGTACAGAGGCCTGTGGCTCCGCTGGTTAAGCCTCTGATCAGTTTCCACTGTGCCCTGACAAGCCTGGCCAGTTATTCACAAAAGCTCTTTTTATTTTCATCCTCCAAGCAGAGCTGAGTTTCACCCATTAATAATTCAACGAGGAGGCCAGGTGGGCAAATTTTATACAGTAGCTTTTACTTTGCTGCTTTAATGGATGTTCGAGTTACCATGAGTCTTTAAATAGCAACAGACCGAAGCCTGGACTCTCCAGAACATCACAGTTTTGACAATATATTTATTTCCTGTATGTTTAAATTAGAAATAGAAGATTAGGAAGCTCTCTTGGCTGATGAGATCATCTGCAGGCAGTTCTGAGATCATTGAGCTATTATCGTCATTTCATCTTCAGAAAAAAACATGATCTTTAAAGTACATTTGTTTCTCTCAGTTAAAATATCAGCAATTTGACTATTTCATGCTGGAAAGTCTCACAAGTAAAACAGCAACATTACTGAATGCAAGACTTAAGTTTCAAGCTATTTGGAGGAAGTAATTATTGTGAGTACCTGAATTTATTTATTTGTGTTCTTTTATGAGTTACGACTGACCAACAAGGTAATAAAAGAAGTTCTCTGACAGTATCATAAGATCATCTCTAATAATTTACAATGACTTTGTTCGTATTGTATTATCTTGTCCTTGCTCAATTACGTTTCAGTTTTGTAGCTGACATCAGGAATGTACATCAAATTAGCATTTGTAAATTGAGATATTTTAACTTCTGTATTCTCGTTTTAGTGCAGCTTCACATTTCTAAAGTTTCTTGTACCAAAGTCCACTATAAATACATGCTTGCACTTGTTGTCTCTTTTCATTATTTAAATTCACTCAGAAGGTAAAATCATGGCACATTCATGTAAATCTCCTCTTGTTCTCTCAGGTCGATGGATCTCCCAGTGCTGGTTGGGGACCTGAAGCTGGTGATCAACGAGCCAAAGCGTTTGCCCCTGTTCGACGCCATCCGACCTCTCATCCCACTCAAACACCAGGTGGAGTACGACCTCCTCACACCCAAGAGGTCACGGTGAGTACTGCATTACGTTGTGCTGTCTTTGTTTTCATATTGAACACATCCTGGTTCTTATCTCTGGTTCGTGTCTCTCCTGACCGAGCAGGAAGCTCAAAGAGGTGCGTTTGGATCGGACGCATCGTGACGGACTCGGTCTGAGTGTCCGAGGAGGGCTGGAGTTTGGCAGCGGCCTCTACATATCACAGATCGTCAAAGACGGTCAGGCCGGGAATGTCGGCCTTCAGGTGCTGTATGTAACTATGTATGAGCTCACTGAGATTCTTCTTTAATGCCACTAAATGTTAAAACAGTAGATTCTAACTTTTGTCAAAGTACCATTTATAGAGGTATATGTATGTAAAATAATACATTTTAGTGTCATCGTTAATATAATATTAATAGTTCTAGTTGCAGTTAGGATATCAACACTTTTTGCAATCAGTTGTTTAGTTCACAGGAGTAGATAAAGTAAAATTAGAAGTGTTTTGACTTTTTGTGGCCATGTTAGTCCTAATCATAACAGCAGGATCCACTAGGTGGTGTGAAGAGCCATGTCTGTTACCCCCTTCAGAGCCTGAGTGTTTCTGCTGGTTTACATTCACTCAGATGTCAGTATCTATCTGTGACAGATTTACGCTTCATCACCGCTAATGTCTAATATCTCGATGTAGAGAGCAATGAAACTGTCAGGAGAGGTTGGGAAACTATCATTTAAAGAAATCCCTCAATAACCCAGAATCAATCATCTTTAATTAGAATACATACATAGTTTGATATAGTGAAGTTACTTTATCAATTCCTAAAATGTATCTGCGTTTGTCTGTTTTTTCACATCGTATGTAAATAAATCATGCAGCTCAATAGATTGTATAGTGTCTGCTTTAATCAGCTGGCAGAGTTACATTATAAAAGAATCAATGGCTTCATCTGTGATCTGACTTGATGGATTGACAGAGAGCGTGTCCTTCCTGATATCCCATCCTGTGTTGATTTATAGCTCGGTGACGAGATCGTGCGTATAAATGGATACTCCATTTCCTCCTGTATCCACGAGGAGGTCATCAGTCTCATCAAGACCAAGAAGATAGTGTCGCTCAAAGTCAGACGTACGTCAAACACAAACTCATTGTACAACAATGGGAGCGCGATTGATGATAATCAGTGGAATCTTTTCATTTTAATATATATTTTTCTCCGTGTTTACAGATGTGGGGATGATCCCAGTGAAGAGGTCAGATGTGGAATTTTGTTTGACAGCATTAATTTGTTTATTTATCGCTGTCTGAAATTCTGCTCTCTTCTGTTCTCATTTGTTTTTTTCTCATCTTCTCCAGTTCGTCAGATGAGCCGCTGAAGTGGCACTTTGTTGACCAGTTTGTTTCTGAGTCAGGGGTAAGAACCACAGTTTTTATGCCTCCACTTTAACGTCAGCCAGCACGTTTTGTTAGTCTTTCCCCATTCTTGTGATCAGGATATCTCAAAAACACCCTCATGTAATTTCTTAAAATTTGGCGAAAATGTTCACTTGGACTCAAAGATGAACTGATTATATTTCAGTGGTCAAAGGTCCAAGTGATCTCAAATGAAGCTGAGAAAAAACCTCTCCTTATTTCATTCTCTTTCGCACCAGATCTATATAGAAAAGCGTTGTTTCTTTTATTCATTCTTCCTTCCAGGAGAAAAAAAACAGCGTTGCAGGCTTGGCATCGATCGGAGGGAAGGAGATCAAGGAGAAGAAGGTTTTCCTCAGTCTTGTGGGCACAAAGGGAATGGGCATCAGCATCTCCAGCGGTCCCACACAGAAACCCGGTATCTACATCAGTAACGTCAAACCTGGCTCTCTCTCTGCAGAAGTTGGACTTCAGGTGATTTCTCAGAAACACCTCCATGAAATACTGACATGTTATTTTCCCGCATGCTGTGAACTGTTTCTACATCTCGTTTAAAATTATAGATTGGAGACCAGATTGTGGAGGTGAATGGGGTCGATTTCACCAACACGGACCACAAAGAGGTGGGTTCAAATCTTATCATTTGTATTTTGTCCATTAACCTAAATCACCAACAACTTATTAGAGTGTCCACGTGTTTTAACAGACACTCTTCATCCCTAGTAATGTTTGATCTGTGTGATGACGACAGTTGCTAATCTGCCAAAGCAGCTGAGAGAAAACGAAGCTCTCAAGGTTTTACACTATTTATTTGGAACCAGTGATGATTTCACAGCCTAAAGAAGAATGTACTTCACACAAGCCAAGAAGCAGTGTTAATGGCCTCCCCATAATCTTAGAAAATGAATGTTCATTTGAAGTCTTATTATAATTTTCTGTTATTCTCTTCCCAGGCTGTGAGGGTCTTGAAGAGCAGCAGGAGTCTGACTATTACTGTTCTGACAGGAGCTGTAAGTCCACTAACTCCATTATGCCTAATAATAATGATCATTTACTGTGTATATAGAACATTTTATCTGGACATTTTCCAGAGTTTTCCTTTCACGTCCAGTTCAGACACATTCACAACAAAAAGCTTTTCTGGAAAATGTCAAGAAAATGTCTGGAGGTCAGAGCACGTCTGAAACCAGCTCATGTTATTTATTGCAGCTGACTTCATCTGTGTTTTTTCCCCTGTAAACTAGTGTGAGTACTTTTGAATACACTTCACACCACAGCAGAGTTGAAGATACACAAGACTGCATCTGCTCATGACACTTTTAGATTTCTCCTGGATAAGAGTTTTTATGATTTTATTACATGTTTAGTGTTTCCCGGAAATCCTCCAGCATGTTAGTAAATTCTATTAAATGTAGTATTAAATGTTAAAATCATTCCATAGTTTTAGTGGCAAAACAAAATTGTATATTTATAAAACGTCTAGAATCATTGTTTATATTGTGAGTGATGTAATAGGAAATGTATTAAATTGCACTTTATAAGCTTTCGAAGTCACTTGTGGAAATGTACTAAAGGTAAAAACAGTGCAGGGATCATCTTGTATGGACGTGTGAACAGACATTTCTGTCTTGGTCTCTTTGCATTCCAGCAGCGCACAGATTGATGTGGCGTTTTGTTTTGGAGACGTCTCATTACAAGCCTGTGCCTCCGCCCGGCCGTCTGCGAGAGTAATATGTATCATCAGTCAAGCCACTTGGCAGTTTGTTTGTCTCAGGACTTATTGACGAGGACTGTGTTTTCCTTACGGCCTGTCTGATGCATTTATTTACATAAGTGTGTATGTTTGGGTCCCCCGCTGCACGATGTCTTGTCTTTGACTGATTATTGTCTCTGGCTGTTGTCAATCTCTCAGGGCAGCGAGTTGTTCATGAGCGACGAGGAGCGGCTGGCCGTGGAGGCTCGCCGGGAGCTGGAGAGGCAGGAGCTGATGCACCAGAAGAGGGTGGCACTGGAGACCAACAAAATCATCAAAGATCAGCAGGAGAAGGAGAAGCAGTGAGTGAACAGTGGAGAACTTTGACTCTGCTTTTCTTAGAAATCAAACTTCTTCCGTCACCTGTCAGGCCATTCAGAGCTTTGCATGGCCTGTTTACATCCAAAGCAGAACGGCAACACAGAGTTTTCCACAATTGTGAACAGAGGAATCAGTCATTGACCCGGCAGCTCAACATATGCTGCTCATTCACACATCTACTGGTGTAGATTTCTGTCAAAACCAGGAGCGTTACTTATAAACTACTTCTGATATCTGCATATCAAGTGCTGGAGGGTTTTTAAAAGCAGTTAAAAGTCATATATTCACAATTCTGCACTGCAGCATGATGTGTGGACAGTGTTGTGTTGAAACCAGTGTATTTATGTTGTGTTTACCAGGAGAAAGATGGAAATTTCTCAGAAAGCTGCAGAAGAAGAGGAGCGTTATAAGAAGGAAATGGAGAAGTATGCGACTCATTTTCCATAAAGTACCAAATCAGTATTGTTTTAATAATAAATCTTATTTTCCTAATTTGTTGTGTCATCCTCTGTAGGATCGATGCTGTGGAGAAGAAGCACAGCAGAGAGTGGGAGGAGGACTGGGGCAAGAAAAACAGGCCCAAGAGCCCGAAGAGCCCGAAGAGCCCGTCACCTGCCCCACCTGAAACAAAAACCACTGCGAAGACAAAGAGCTCTCGTAAGGCCGCCTGATTGATTCTCCTCCTTAAAATGCATGAGTCTTCTAGTCACTCTCACCTTATTCCCTCTCTCTGTCTGCACGCTCTCTTTCTGTCACTGTTGTGTGCCGTGCTGCTATTTATGGCCTCTCCTCTAAGCTGATGAAGGCAGCTACTTCGCAGAGGAAGACGAGGAGGAAAAGGAGGGCAGACAAGTAAGTCCTGAGCCTCAGCTGTGCATTGTCACAGCTGCTTTCGGAGGATGATTGTGCAAACACACTGAGACTAGTGTGAGATTTCCTTTGGCAACCAGAATGTAACCAATGGTGACAAGTTTTTAAGCCTCTGAGACGGTGGCCGGAGGCCTTATGTTTCCTGGTTGTCTGTACAACTGTGTCAGTCTTGTGAACACGAAATCTCCAGAACACCTTCAAGCTAATTTCTTCAAATTTGGTCTGAACGTTCAATTTGACTCAAGGGTGGAGTGATTTGAATTTGGAGGTCAAAGGTCACAATGGTCACTCAAACATGTTTCTGGCCTCTTGAGCAAATCATCTCATGTCGTCTGCCTTCTGAGATTCTTTTCAAATATTGACCAGTTGTTACTTAGATTGGGTTTTAGATTATTTTAGACCTTATATGAGTTTTGGGGAAAAAAGTCTACACTGAAACTGTACTGGCTGGGGAAGGCATGCAACTGCGGGGCGGTAACTGTAGCTCACTTTACAGAATTCGGCATTTATTTATTGCTAAATTCACAATGAAACCCAAAATCAACCTGAAATATCTTCTCAAAAGCAGTTTGCATCATTTGGTTTTCAAGAAGAGTTTCCTGAAGAAGAGGCCCAAACATAATTTCTCCTTGAATGCTGTGTTGTGGCTCTTCAATGTCTTGTTTTTCAAATAGATATCCTGCTTGGTGTTTGCTGAGATTTTGTTTAAAGTTTGGGTTTTGATTTAACGTACTGTGAGAATGACCCATGTTCATGTCCATCCTTAGCTTTCGGCTGGTTTTATCGATATGAGGGGAAACTGCCGTCAATCCGCAAGGTACTGTCAGCAGTGTGAGCTCAGTGTGGTGTTCAGGATAACTTCTATTTTTATTTGAACTCTCTCGGGCTTCATGACAAGGTGCTGGTCACACATTCCAGCTTGTTTCTAAAACTCTAAGTTTACTTGCTGTGACTCATTTAAAGTGTTATTGTCAGTAGCTATTTGACGTGTGGTTTGAAGTGGAAGATTTTGTCTGTCACCTGCTGTTTATGCTGACTAACCGATGGCCCCTCAGAAGGGAGAAAAGAAGAAGAAAAAGAAGAAAGTGTCAAACACAGACACGCTCCAGGAGCAGAGGAAAAACAAAAAGGAGATGGAGTTTGAGCTGAAACTCGCCAAGGAGAAAGAAGAGATGCACGAACGAGAGAAGCAGCTGAAGATCAATAGGCTGGTGCAGGAGGTATGAAAAGAAAGAGGGGGGGGGGGTTTCCCAAGTTAATCAGACTTTTATGATGTTATATTTACGATGCACATTAAAGCAAAGTCACCTTGAACTGCCACCAAGTTTTACATCCTGGTTATTTGAGACCTGAGCGCGTGAGCAGGTGTGTTAGCATGTGCGTGAGGGTTTGATGCTTGTTGTCTGATGCGGCCCGGCGATGCCTCTGCACCAGGTTTCAGAGACGGAGAGAGAAGACCTGGAGGAGTCTGAGAAAGTGCAGCACTGGGTTGAGCGTCTTTGTCAAACTCGGTTGGAGCAGATCTCCTGTGTGGAGAACGAATCCCCAGAGGTAGAGAGTGAGACCTCTGTCCAACCCCCTCTTTTCTTTGTGAAGTTTTGTCTGTACGTGTAACTTTATATTTCCTGTGACATAGAGTTGAGTAAAGCTCTGATAACTTAGCATTGATGGACTCTTCAAAAAATTTATAAGAGGCAACTGTTCCCCAGCAGGTTTAGCAAATGACTTAATGTTTAGCTCAGCCATGTAATTTTCCATAGATGGGAAGGGAATTTGTTGGGAATTTGTTGTTTAGGCTAAAAGGAGAATGAACATGAGCTGAAACATGTATCATGTCACTCTGACTTTCTAAGCTCTCCCCGCCACGCTCTCCTGCCTCCGAGCCCAAGGTGAAGCGTTTCGCTGGTGGCCTCCATCTGGCCACCACTGACCTGGATGACATCAACCTGGATGAGGTTGATCAGAGCCTGAGGGGCCCACTGAAGAGACTGGCCCCCACGCAGCCCAGCACCAGCCAGCCTCCCCCTCCCCTACCTCTCCCTCCACCTTCACCCAGACTGAACCCCACCATCCCCAACTACTCTCCTCCTCCCTCTCGAGCACCGGCTCAGCGCAGACCTCCGTCTCCACATGCTAGGAAACCTCCCTCCGCCCCCTCTACCTTGACCAACAAGGGGCGCAGGCCTCACCCACAGTCCCACCCTCAGCCTCACCCTCTGCAAGCCCATCTCGCTAGCCACCCCTCTTCCCACTACCCTCCATCGTTTCAGTCGTCAAGGCCTCCATCCTCGCCTCAACCTGCTCCACGGCCTCCTCCGCCGCCGCCACCCCCTCCTCCACCACCGCCTCCACCTCCACCTCCACCCCCACCTCCACAACACTCTGAGGATAGAATGGGCCCCCTCGGTGTGTACCGCCATCACCCTCACCATCACCTCCAACACCCTCCCAGTCCGCCCGAGCACAGGAGCGAGTGGGAGACAGGTGGCTATCTCCCTAGAGGAGGAATTTACTCATCTAACGCCAGTGAAATGTCCTACCCCTCCAGTCCAAAGGTTAGAGATTCTCATTCGAGAGGAGTGATGTGGCAGAACGGCTTCACGTTGTTGTTGGAGTGTTGGATTTATGGATGGAAAGGATTGTTTTTCCTTTTCAATCTATTTAGAAAATGGATTTTCTTTAATGCACAGGTCTGTGCATTAAAGTGTTTTTATGCATTGGAATGTTTTATGCATGAAGAGAGTGATACAACGTATTAGCACGACTGAATTGGAGAGTCCTTGATTTACAATTTTCTTTCATCTGAAGGACATGCATTCAGAGAAGCCTTTGTTATGGGTGTTTTCTTAAAGCTGTGTGATCTCTTGGTGTTTTACGTTGTGTGTGGTGTATGGTCATGATGAAACCAGCATCATGAACTAGCTCATGAGAGGAGCTGATTTAAAAAAATTTAATTGAAAGCTTTTGAAACCTCATCCAGGCTTTGATATCTAAGAAAATGTGTGTGAGTGTGGGTGTGTGTTGCACCAGTATTCCTGCACTGTGCTGCATGTGCCAGAGGGCTGAAAGATTTCTTTTATTTCACTGTGGCTCAGGTAATGAGAAATACATCACATGCCAGTCACGTTTCCACCTCCAGCGGTCCCTTGGTGAGTCTCTGTTTGTGTCATGTTTTGGAAACACCCGCTGCTTTTTTTCAAAGTTGTGCTATTTCGTATAGATTCTTACAATCCTACAAAAACAAGATGCTTTTGAACCTGTGCTCAGCTGTTGCTTGTAGAAACACGGTCTCTCCCCCAATAGCAACTAGCTCCTAGCCCCCCCAACCAGAGGCGTCAGATGGCCCCTGTCATGTCTAAGCCCGTCATGCTGCCTCAGTCGCAGACGCACCGACCAGATCCACACAAAGCTGCAGTCCGTTCAGATGCTCTGGTATGAAACGCACCACACTGATCTACTTCTCACACAGTGTGTCATCATCGAGCTGAAGTATAAATCTCTGCCTCTTTTTCAACTCCTGGGGAGTCGAGTCCGTCCAGACGCTCCAGCTGTTTCACAGAATCCCAGTGTGTGGTCATTAGATCACACCAGGAACACATTTATCCTTCCTGTCAAATTAGCTCTAATGAGAACCGAGCAACCACAAACCCTCTTCTTCACGTTGATAGAGTCACACGTTCACACCTGAGAGTGAGAGTACAACTTCTACCAGCGGCCTCTGGCGGCGACACGCCCTGGTGAAGGGCACCTTGACTGTGGTAGCTGAGTGTATCTGCTGGCAAACTGCTGCGTCACTCATCTGTATTCTCTTGATGTTATGAGATAGAGTTTTCGGGGGTTTAAGACGCTTGTTTTCTTTATTTTTTTCTTTATTTTTTTATATTTTGTGTTTCAGCCTCAAGAAATGCTGAAACGGATGGTGCCTTTCAACTCGTCTTTTAAATCAAACAACAAACGACAAGTAATCCATACTTATAACCACCTCTCTCACTCTTTTATCACTCGAGTGCTGTTGTTCTGTTCTTGGTTCTGCACTTGTAGTCTCCATGCTCACACGTCAGGTTTCCTCACGGTTCACTGGAGCCCCAGTGGTGGCTCCTCCTTTATTATTTCTTTACGTCAGCTCTCTGTTGGCTGCATCTCTGCCTTTAGGTCCAGTTGTGGAGCATATGCATGACTGCACTTTCATTGATTCGATGGACGCTGTAGTGCAGAGTGTGAACGTGCGCCTCACAATGTTTTTTGTCCCTCCAGTGATTAGATTTGATCTTTACCGGCATCAGATGGTTTATTTATTAAGAACCATCCTATAAAGGCTCATAGGAAGTTGTTATCTGTGTTCAGCACCGTCATTATGCACATATTTTTTAGATGAGAGTAGATTAAACTTTATTTCAAAATACCACTTGGTGTGACTTCACATCACCATTGATGAACCCCAGGGTGTTTGGGGTCTATTTTTATCGGACACCCAGCTTGGGGTGATCATTGGAAGGCGTATGACCCAGCTTTGGTGAGGTTAGCAGCCCTCTTTAGGCAAAGAGACTGAGATCCCGGTGTAAAGACTTTCCTGCTGAGCCCCTGCAGCCACCTCAATGGGCTCAAAGTGGGCCTTCCCTCCATGCCTTCTATATTCTGTGACCAGCTCTAGATATTTATTTCTTGCGTCTCTGGCCCTCCTCTGTCTGGTCTTCCCGGGGATGCAGTTTAGCATCTAACCAGAGTCCATAATCAGGTTGGCAGTGGTAGAGGAAGCACTAAAACTTTTCACTTGATTAAAGGTAAAAAAGTAACTTAGTACTTACTTTAAAATATAATGAAAGTAAAAGTGTATCCTATTCCCTAATGCAATGATTACTACTACATCACTAAGTTAAATGTGTGTGTTCTTTCCCTGAGAGCCTTTTTCTCAGTTGCCTTTTAGGGATAATTGAATTTTAAGTAAAGTCTCCGTCTCATGGTTTCTATTTATTCACTGTGGAGCCAAAACATAAACACAGAGTTGGTTGCCAAAGGAAATCTGACGTGCACTTGATGCATCGACTTGTTACACAGCTCACATTCACAGAGGTTTAATCTGTGGCCTGTCTCTTAACTTGTTTTCAATGTATTGATCAGTTTTTTAATGAGCTCCATGTTGATTTACTTTCAGGGATTTCAGAAATACGAGGACGGTTTTGATCCCTACTCAATGGTATCGTATGCCTGATCTTCTTAACATGACAATAAAGTGGAAAATACAATAAATGTGCAGCTTAACATCTACAGATCTCTGCTCACAGGAACAAAAGATGTACAAAAATCTAAATCACAAATTGGTTGCTTTATGTGATAATTGACTGTTTTGCCATCAGCTCCAAGAAATGTCTGTTGTTTTGTCTATATACAATATTAATAGCACACAAAGGGTTGGATTCACTTGGAAGTTAGAAGGGAAGTTGGATTGACAACTAAATAAAGTAACTTTTGTTTGCTTAGCTTACTTACTTAATCCTTCCCCTAGAAACTCGTAGATTTCATAAGGGATGAGGGTGCAGCTGTAATAACTGAAACCAGCATATGGAGTATTAAATGAAAATAAAATAAACCAGAATATGGATTTCACATTACTGTGAACACTAAATAAGTGTAAACTTTATTATTAATCTCATGTCTGAGCAATTACGATATTTAAACCTGTATTCACAAAACTAAATTCACCTTTCTTAATTTCACTCTTACAATATCAGTTCCCTTTCTCTTAAAATTAAAAAAAAAAGTCCTGGAAGTACTTCTCTACCTACTATATTACTGCTGTGCTCCTTTCCCTCCACTTTTTAACTCCTTATCCTGTTTGTAAATAGTTTTCCTCGGACCAGATAGACGGACGAGACGTGAGGCTGCTGAGAATCAAAAAGGTAGCGACTGCATTCACTTAAAATAAATGAGGTAAGAGTTTCTAAAAACGTGACTGATGGTGTTTTTGGCTGTTCTGAAGACCGGACAGCTCGACCTGGCTCTGGAGGGTGGAGCAGACTCTCCTCTGGGAAAGTTGGTGGTGTGCTCTGTGTATGAAGGTGGAGCTGCAGATAGGCACGGTCAGTTTGGTTTCATGTTTTAACTTCATGTTAACTTAAAATCCATTCAAGTTTATTAAAAAATCATGTATGTGTATGTCCGAAGAGAACCTCATTTTAAAATGGTTTCTCTTACTAACCACACACTGTGTTGACTGTCTTGTGTTATTCTTTAGACATAAATATTATATGTGCGTGAATTCACCTGTTCGATTCCCATGGCGGGTCACAGACAAAGACGGGGGTTGGGAAAAGTCAGGAGACGGCCAAGCGGCATCTCTTTTTATTTTTCATGGACAACAGTTGCTGCACTTTGTATAGAAGCATTGTTTGATGTGTGTGAATCATTAAATGTGACTTGTTGTGTAAAAACACTATATAAACACAGTCCATTCACCATTTAACACCTCTTTAAAAACTGTAATCCAGAAACTGAACACTATAACATTCACACTTTGATTTATGATAAAGCAGTTTTATTAGACTGTATTAATACACTTAGGTAAACACAGGCTGTTAAATACAACTATAAACCTGTGAGTGAAGATCTCAACAGACAACATCCCTGTTCAGGCTCTGAAGCAAAATCTCATATTTGAACTGTAAATACATTTGACACTGAAAACAAAAGCCCTTTGTGTAAAGTGAACCAAACCTCGGAGAACAGAATCGTCTTATATTGTGTGTACACAGACTGTGCTTATATCTGTACATTATCATCACACTGTCTCCATGGCGAACTGTAGCGAGGGGAGCGTGGCAAGGCATCAGGAAACCAGTGAATGACACCTGCTCTGTGTGCACAGCTCAGACATGCTGCCTCGCTTCAGCTCTGCATCACTGTCAGCGGGTTAACACGAGTCAGTTGAGAGAGCCAAGCGTCTGAGTGGCTGTTCATGCCGACTGTATTTATGTCTGCTGCTGGAGCTGGCACGTATTTCTGTCTCTGTCTGTCTGTGTGTGTCTGTGTGTGTGTGTGTGTGTGTGTGTGTTAATATGTTTGGCAGTTAAATTTCGGAAGTCTCTATTTGCAGGGGGCATTGTACCAGGGGATGAACTCATGGCCGTGAACGGGAAAATCCTGATCGATGCCACATTGACCGAGGGACAAAACTCTCTGGCTCGGGCCTGGAATAGTGGAGGGGTATGACTCACACTAGAGTACAATGAAAGGCTCGATTAATAAAAAGATATGTCACCACAGCAGAGCGTGTTATTGATTATATTGAAACCACATGAACCTACATTGATTGTTTGTGCTTTTTGTTGACACACTCTTTACTTACAGATTCTTTTTTTGTTTATTTATCCTCTCAGCAGTGTGGTCTTTCAGTTTTAGGGCAGGACTTATTGATTTCTCCTTCAGATTTTGTAATGTGTTCGCTCAAAGCCCTGCACTTACACTCTAGTAGTCCCCCCACCTGCCTGTGCTCAAACTGTACGCTTGCTCTCAGATATTTTGTTGCTTGGACGAAACATCTGCTCTCAGACTTTTTGTGTGCAACAAACCTGTCGAATTTCCCCAACCAAAAGAATTGTGTAGAGTTGATAAAGAATCCCAATTTTGTTGTGGGTGCATTAGCTATATTTCTTTGAGTTTCCAATACGGGCGGTTATTTTAACCACGTTCATGCTCTCCTATGAGGCCATTTGAAGGGGGTGAAATCGTCACAAAACCTGAACATGAAATCAATAAGTTCTGCTTTCAAACTAAGGAACACACTCGTTCATAAAGACAGAAAAAAATCATATTTACTGTTGTGTCTTTCAGGACTGGATCGATGTTGTGATCGCTGTTTCTCCTCCGAAAGACTATGAAGATGAAGTGTAAGAGTTCCTTTTGAGTCTTTATTATTTTTTAGTTTATAAATGTATAACCACGATCATCTTTGTTTTTTTATTTAATCACAATAACGTGTGTGCACGTGTGTGCAGCCCTAGATCAGCATCAGTCAGTCCCACTGTGAACAGAAAGGTGTTTGAAAGCAGTGCCACACTGTACAGACACGGCTACCTGCTTCAGCACTAGCTCACCCTCGTCCTGGTAATCCACATAGTCTTCACACCTCCTCTTCTTCACTGCACGTCTCCGAGGGGATGTTTGGTGTGGCCTTTGTTTTTGTTTTTTATGTTCGTGAGCACATGTGACAGTCTCCCTGTCAATCAGAAGAAAGCAGACACGCAGTATTTTTCCCGTCGCTGTTGTCAAACTGACAGATTAATGTATCTCTGTTAGACCTCGACCGTGAAAAGCTAGCGTGAGACAGACACAGTGTGCAGGGTTTCTGTTTTTTTCCTCTTAGAACATCACCTCAGGGCATTGTGTCTTTATTGCTGTAGCATGTGGTGGACGGTTACACAGCCAGGCTATTTAAGTGAAGGCATTTATAACTAATGCGATGAGTGACCCATCCCACCGTATATCTGCCAGTTCCTGACACAGTGAGCCGTATATAAACACATTCATATATGTACGGCTCGTGTGGTATTGTCCGATGTCGTCAGGTCACGGACGCTCATAAAAAGCAGCCTAGTTGTCCTGCCAGCCTTCAGCAGTTGTTCTGATTGATGTTGTTCCACGGGACTGTGACATGTTCTGACATACAAACTCATAAAGTGACACTGCTCTGGTACAGTAAGAATGAACATGTTGCCAGACTCTGGGGAGAAAAGAAGCCAAAGAAGTGGACTTTCCAGATTCAGTTAAGGAAACAAAACTCACTGCTCATCTAATATCCGGCTTGGCTGAGGAGCTGGAGCTCAAAGAAATTAAACTGAATGAGAGAAATATCTGCACACTCAAATATGTGCAAATTAACTTCTTGATTCTTTTAATAATAATTTATTTATAATATTTTGTAGTCATTTGCATATGTTTGAGCATGCGGCTGCTTTGTTTCCTCACTCAGTTTAATTCCTCAGTCAGAAAATGAAAGAAGAAGAAATTATCTTTTATTTCTTTGTTTGTCACCTGCATGTGTGTTGCTCTGTTGTGTTAAATGTGCAGTGACTAAAGCAAATGGTAAACAGAAGAAACATCCAACGCATACATCACCCAGAAGGCCAGATAATAAATGACTTTACTTAACTCCTCTCATTGACTAGATTAACTGGTTATTGATTATTTCTTGTCTCTTCTCCCGCAGGACGTTCTTCTAGTCTTTAACAACCTGCCAAGAAAACCAGACTGATTGAGAAGAAGGGTTTTTTTACGATTGATGATTCCTTCAAGATGCACAGTCTGATTAATCACGATGAAAAATCAGTTTCCGCTTTATCTTCCTACACATCTGTACAGGTCTTTTTGTGTTTACTTAACATTACTCTATTCTCTTTGAGAATCAGCCTTGTGTCATATTTTGAGATATTGACACCGGTTCACATACTACCTGTATTTAAGGATGATCCTGTAGATATTTGGTTGTCTCCAGTAAACTGCCTCATCCATGTCACGCCTGAACGCGCTTGATCTCTTTAAGAGACAAATGACCATCCATACATCTTTTAGGCAGCAAACTGTAATCAATAGCACCTCTGTAATCTGAAAAATAAAGGACTGCAGCTCACATAAGTGGAGTTTCTGTTCTGTGTTTCTGTAATCTCTGCTTTGCGGCTGTGGCTTAGGAGGTAGAGCGGATAGAAGACTGATGGTTCGATCACAGTCTCCGCCGTTCCTCCTGTTGATGTGTCCTGAGGCAAGTTGCTGAGCCCTAAATTGTGTGTGAGTCACTTGTCATTTGTTGGAGCGGGTGAATAGAAAAACTGCTGTAAAGAGCTTTGAGTGACCATCAAGACCAGAAGAAATCATTTTAAAACTCAGGACTTTATATCTATCTTTGACACGTTGTGGGAACTGTTGTGTGTCTCTATATCGTACGGTCTCAACCCTGCTATGTAAATTGCACTGGGTTAATACATGTTGTGGGTCGGCACCTTGCAAATAAAATGGAATTCAATATAAAATTTCTTGAAATGATATGTTCAGGATTTGTTCCCCATGTTTTGATGATTTGTTTTTGATGTTGATTAGATTTGAGTATAATAAAGAAGATTCTCTCCTGCTGCACCCCCCCACTGGTGGTTCTTATTCACCTTCTTCATCTGCTCTTCTTCATTGATTTATTCTAACCATGCATGAGCAGCTGTACCGATTTTTATAATTAAACGTCAAACGTCCACAGGGGGCAACAGTGCTCCTTGAATACCAAGCTGCTATGTGAACGAGGGATTCCGCGCTTTGTTCATGATTCTGCTTTTAACAAAACTAAATATTACAATCAGAGAACCTGCAGTGAGATCACATTTACAAAGTACGAGTTAATCATGGTAAATTCAGGTTTGAGGTAGAAGAGAACACAGAACATCATGCGATGTTGTTGCTTTGGGCATCATCGCACTTCGCTGTTATGTAACCGCTCAGTCAGCCTGTCTCGGCTCATGCATGTACGTGACTACTGTCCGCTGCTGTAACCCGCCGCTCCACGGTTCATGTGGGACACGAGAGGAGGCCTCGTCAGAACATCGACCTCCTTCTTTCTCCTTAACTTTTCTCCACCATCTCCTCCCCTGTTCCTCCTCCTCCTCCTCCTCGGTTCAGCACCGTGGACAGCTCCTCGCGCTCTGATGGTCAGACTGGAGTTGGGCACAGAGGAGTCAGCTGCGCTCTGAGCGCGTGAGAGACGGTTCCAGTGGTTTTATCAGCCAAGCGACGGGTGTGACATTACTGATCAGAGTCTGAGGCTGAAGCACGATGATCTCACGATATAAACCGGTAAGTGCTGCTGCTGCTGCTGCTGCTCGTCTCACCTGTTCACTCACTTCGATCCATACTTCCACTTGGAATAGTTCTGGCTGCGCTGCTCAGTTGCACCAGTGCATATATGCAGTGGCTGCAGATTAACGCTGTGTAAAGATGTTGTTAGTCACATTAGGTCATACTTACTCAATGAGTCCATATGTCATGGCCTCATGCATCATTGAGATTGTGAATTATTGGATGTGCTGGTGGGGAGGGAGGGCTGTTCCATTATGTGTTCACAGCTTTTTGTAAAATAAGCTTTTTTTTTTTTTTACATCTGCAAAAAAAAACCACTAGTGAAAATGAGTCCTACAGAATAGATTCACATGGTCAAATAAAATAATATATGATTCATCATCAGTTTACTCCCGGTGACAAAAAAACATCACAGCTCCGCACACAGCTGTGTCTCCAAGGCTTCAGAGGACGTTACACTGACTTGCATTGACTTCCTGTAGACTTACTCTAACCTTAACTGTAGTAACATAAACCTAACCTAACATGAGGACTTCCTGTTTGTCTCCATAGGGAAGACAAGGCCCTATACTGTGAAAACAGATTCAGGTCCCCACACATAATTAATAACCTGAAACACACACACAGAGCTATTCAACAACAATTCACATCTTACCACTGACATTTACCAAGACCTCAGAAATTCATCTTAGCTTTATTCAGCTTTGGTCCCTGTGGTTCTGTCAGAGTCAGTTTTTATAAAGCATAACGAGGATGGAAGTGAGAGGGCTTCACGTGCTGTGATCGCTGCATCTCAGGAGTTGAAATGTAAGACAGCAGGAATATCTTCACTTAAAACTACACCCAGTCTGGATGGCTTCCCTTTCCCGTACAGTTCATTGCTTCCTCAAAATGCCATTTGACCTTCTGACCATACGAGCCAAATCTTGTCACAGTTGTGTTTGCAGAGAAAAGCCACTGCTGCACGTCTGCTCCCTCTCCATGACAAATAAGGCTCCCACTGGCTCCATGAGTAGTTTGCAAAAAGTTATGGCAGCATTCACACAAACAATCCAGCATTTTAATTGATATTTATTATGTTTTAATTGGTCTTTGTTTACTTGTGTCTAGTTAGTTTGCAGGACTATGTTACAACTCTTGGATGGATTTATATGAAACTTGTTGCTGTTATAATGTGATGGTCAGCGTGGCATGCATTACATTAACCCTAAATCATATTAAACACTAAGAAAAGGCTATAAATCTGACCCGGTTGTTACATGGATTATCAAAATCTGGTCCCGTGTGGGTCTTTGCTGATCCCTGAGCTGCCTGCGGCTGCAGCCTGATCCCTCCCTGCACATTCATCCGTCCCAGGAATGCATTAATATTTTATATCATTATTTTTCATGTGTGCAGCCTGGTTACCCACTTTCCATGCATTCTCTCCTTCTTGTTTTCTTGCTTAGATATGATACGAACCATAATGGGAATAAGTGACTAAAGGGTATTTCAGGGGGTTATGTAATTTCTGAAAGTCTGGTGTTGGGATTTAGATAAGAGCGCCTGCTCATGCCTCACATGTGCTTCTGTATGACGTTTGCACAGCTCTCTCAGGAGCTGTACCCCCCATCTCTCTCTCCCTCCCTCCCTCCCTCTCTCTCTTTCTCTCTCTTCCCTCTCTCTCTTCTCCCTCCCTCCCTCCCTCCCTCTCTCTCTCTTTTTTCTCTCTTGCTCTCTCTCTCTCTCTTCTCTCTCTCTCTTCTCTCTCTCCCCCCCTCTCTCTCCATCAGTCACTCTCTCCTCCCGACCTCTCCCTCCTACCTTTAGAGGCTCTGCAGCTCAGTCCTCCAGCTCCCCTCCACGCTGTGCCCTCCTCTGCTCTCATCTTCCAAGGTCGACTTTGGGCTCTCATTTGCAAAGAGACAGGAATAGCAGGTGCACTGCAGAATGCTGCCGCTGCACTGACCGTGTGTGTGTGTGTGTGTGTGTGTGCGTGTGTGCGTGTGTTTGGATGCATTCCATTGGAGCTGTGCGGAGCTGTGCGGAGCTGTGTGCAGGAGAAGCTTCAATTTTAAAGGATGTCTGAGGACTGCGGGCAGAAGCGATGCAGATGTCTCTCACCAGCATGGCTGAGAAAGCTGCTTAGACAGCCGGAGAGGGGAGGAAGCTGCTGCGGCTGCTGAGCTGGACTGTGACTGCCTCTGACCCTCTTCTCCCTCCCCCTCCTCTTCTCCTCTCTTCTGCTATTTTGAAGCTGGATTTGTGAGAGGAGCAGGAAGGAGGTCACTTTGGGAATTACCAGGATCTACAGAAGACGCCGTCAGTCTTCCCTTTGAAAAGACGAAATGCTCTGAGAGCCTCCCGTTTAAATCTCTCTGTCTCTCCTCTCTCTCTGGTCCTCCTCCTCCTTCCCTCCTGCTCCTCCTCCTCTTCTTCCTCCTCTTGCTCCGGCCGGTTCCCTGCAGAGTCCCGGTTCCACCATGTCCTTGGCATTTTGTGGGAACGAGAATAACTCGGTGGCTTACAACGTGGATGGGGGTGTCCTGAACAACGGCTGTTTCCTGGACGCGCTCAATGTGGTGCCACATGTCTTCCTCCTCTTCATCACCTTTCCCATCCTCTTCATCGGTGAGTGTCAGTGGGGGGTGAGATCCTTCAACCTCTTCACCCCACAACTCACACACAAACAGACACACTCACATTTGTCCTCAGACAAGGTGTCAACACAAGGATGTAAGACTTTGAAATGTTCCCTATCCGCCCTTGTCAGCTCCTTTTTTTTTTTTTTTTAACTTTTGCATGTGATGAATGAACTGTTACACAAATGTCAAATAATACATTACACACTATTACACACTTGGATCGTTCCATCTTGGACATCATTCCCTGAGACAGGTAGGACATTTGGAGACATTTCTTATGCTGCCAGCATTATGTGATGAATTGTTTCTGTACAGAGGCAAACAGATGCCATCATGCCTGGATTAGGTTACACCTCCTCTGGTCCCCTTCCTGGCTGCTGGCCATTCCATTAGTGTCATCATCAGCGTGTAACAGATGAGTCGCTGTGAACCCGCCGCTGCCACGGTCACACACACGCTCTGGCTTCATCATGTGCTCTGTCATGTCAGTGTGTGTGTGTGTGTGTGTTATATGTGAGTCTGTTTGGAAGCACTTTAACACTCCATGTGTTGCCCCGGTGTTCCTGTGGTCTCAAGAACTCTCACAACTCATTTCTTCTTCTTAGTTACACGTTGAACTCCCAATGTCTTTGTGTTTATATTTGGATGCTCCTGTAATAAGACAGTCTGATCTTTTTCAGCATCCAGAGTTATTTCTGTCACTGTATTGCATCAGTAGCTTTCAAAACTGCAGCGCCGGAGAACAGTGGCTGTGAACTGTTTGTCTTTGATCCTCCAAACAATGTTGACATCCATAAATGGTTTTTAATGTAATTATTAACTCTGCAAATCAAATTCTGCTAATTTATGCTAATTAGCAAAAGGAAAGAGGGAAAACAAAACACAAAAAAGTAAGCGATGATTTTCAAAATATAATATACACGTTTTGAGTCACACCTCAGTTTCTCTTTTGTTCCCACTTTGATGACTTGAATGAGGGATCTCAAATCTCAGGGTTATTAGATATCTTCAGTTAATTGAACTATAGTCCTCTTACCCTAACCTCTGTAGGTGTGTTCACTCGATCATCACTGGGCCAAAATCGTCGCACATGCAGTTGGAAGACAATAAAATTGGTGTAATGTGTGATATGTACAAAATATACAACAACAATTCTAAAGAGCTCTTTCCTCCACCGAGGCTCAGCAGTGCCCTTAAATTCAATCAAGCTGCACCAAGTTGGACACGCTCACAGATATGGGTTCTCCCTGAATATGCCTGATTAATTTCATCAATATTCAATAATCTGTGAAAATGTAAAAAATGAAAAAGTGATTTAAGCCAACAATCAACTTAATGGATTCTTCTCTGACCGATGTATCATTCCACCAAGTTTCGTGATAATCCTTCCTGTTGTTTTTGCACAATCCTGCTTAAAAACCAACAAACAAACAAACTTGGGTGAAAGCAAAGTAAATATTAGTGTTGTGATCTTCATGTGTTACAATCTTAATGTTGAATGGAAAATCAGTTTTCTTACATCAGCAAAGTAATGAGGTCAACAGGCTGCACCTGTCAGTGGGTTGAAGTTCCATCATCCTGTATCGTGATATGAGACTGTGGACGTTTGTATTGTGGTTTCAGAATCTGAAGTCACATCCCCAAAC